ATCTTTAGGGTGTGAGTTTCGACTCTTATAGATTAAAAACACTGAAGGGATAGCAAAAGTAACTTTGACAACATATAGCTGATAGGGATTTCATCGGTACCTACAGTACCAGCTCAACTGACATCGTTTACCAACTCAAGATCGAGATCCACAGTTGCGATCCGCCTACGCCTAAACGTCTACCATTTGCCTAACGTTTACCTGACCTCCATGTGGTCCTTGGCAGTTAACCTGCCGCCGCAGGGTATATTGAGTGAAGTCCTTTGACCTTACTGTCTTTTAGAGGACTACACTAGCCCATTCGCATTATTTCTCACACTTCCTTATTCAGACTATCTACAAGAACCACAATCCTGAATCTTGACCCAGACTGACGGGTCAACCCATCAGATAACCGGTGGACGTGGTGACCTCTCGAGGTGACCATTTCAGTGGCAGTACAGGCTGTTCCATCACGGCACTCCCTTCCCATTGGGACAACCTCTGCCACTGCGACGCACCAGGCAGCACCGCTCAGTCCAATGTCTCCCTCTCGGCTCTCCCTACGGCTATACAACGGTCTTATCAGAGCGAAAGAGCTTGCTTCCAAAAAGCAAAAGTTTCAATACCGCAACATTTCGAGGAAAGGCCAGCGCGTCGGCAAAGCGCCTGAGAAGGAAGGATGGAACGATGGCACCGATAACCGTACATATATTGTCTGAAGCCAGCAACATAACATGGAACAGTATACATGACGAGCAGGTGAGCCGGCCAGCCGCCACAGCACGGGTGTGGGATGGCCGAGCGAGCAGGGACGCGTACATCGCGGCGCCGGTCCCCTGCCTCTGAGACACAGCAATGGCACGAGGAGGGCACGTGGACGATCGGGTAGCGCCCGGCATGATGAAAATTTATGAGAGGCGTAAATAAATACGAAAATATATGCTTGGCATAATTCTTAGCAATAACCAGCAGGTGAGAGCAGCACCTGAATCACGTCGGTCGCTGGAATGCGATAAAGCGATACTTTTACCAAAGTGGATTAAATAGAATAACAACTATAGTACATCACACAACAGCTTTCAGCGCTTGACGAATCTCCATAAGAGATTCGTAGCTGGTACGATAACTCATATGACAAACAAACACACGCATACTGCCGTGCAAAGTAAAAGAAGCGTAACTCACTTTTTACGATTTTCCAGGAGAGCCGATTTACTGTTTGGAGACATTGTCGCTAGTGTATCATTCCAATATGGGAGTTGCATACATCATTGAAATTGTTGAGAAACGGATATATTTGTGGTATGCAGTAACGTTCCAACAATAGTTTAAGTTAAATGTAAATTGGCAAAAGGTTTTTTTCCTTTGACTTTTTGGGCGAACCGCTTGTACCGCCAAAAGGATGAAAAGCGTAACTCCAAACAGCGCCATGGTAAAAAAGCGTAACTCATTACTGCGCCACGCGATGCTTTAAAAAAGAGCGTAACTCGCAAGTTACGCTTTTCTTATCTGAAAAAGGGATATTTTTTCATTATGCGCTTATTTTGTACAAGGTGAATGCTTTATACCATAATATTTTATGGACCTCGCACGCCCGAAATAACAGCGAAAGCAGCCATCAGGCCCATCAAAACATTGTCAATGAGAAATCCGACGAGGATAATCGGTTACCAATACGCCCACCAGGAATCATATTGCCCGTGAGTAGCTGTGTGTTAAAAGCGCAAGTTCAAACCAGACGCCACCGACCCTTCTGTCTCCTGAGGCTATCGCTACAAGCTTGACACTACATAGATTTACCGAACAAGTGGCCGGCGATCGCAGCTCGCCGTGGTCTTAGTCTACATATCTACCCGGTCAGATTCCTGATGCCCGGTTTCACCGACTGCATAGGACGTAGAGCGGCGATAATCAAGTAAGCCTAAGTTTGTTTCATCTCAGAAGGGTTGTTCTTTGGGGCGTCTTGTCAAAGGTAGCCTTCATCAGGAGGCACAAAGTCGTTTCTTCGCACGACTTCGTTACAAAAAGGTCTTCTTCGACTTCTTCACAAAGACGTCGAGCGAAGATTGCTTTTATCCCCCCCCCACCGCCCCCAGTACTTGGATAACCCTGAAGTCCTTCATCAGAGTTCAATTCAATCTTAGCTGGCAACCACAGTTTTGTTTCGCTCCCCTATCATCGAAATGGAAGAAGTCGTCATCCTTAAAGATATTCAGTTTTCGTCTGTTTTCTTCAATCATCCTAATAAAACCTCCGAAGCTATCCACTACAGTTTCTTTTACGGACACTCATTTGGACAACTGATGCGGGCAGCGCGTTTACTGAAACGCAGCTGTCACAGGCGGAGGTCACCGGGTACGATGCCTTTGGCGAGTGCGATAACAGCATCACCGCTTCTGGAGAAGGACGCTGAGTCGCTGGCCTGTTGCTGTGGCGCTGAGGCCAACTCCCTGAGCGGCATATCTTCTGGGACAGCCAGGGCACTGCTTGCATTGAGGTAGTATTTCGTGGTCCTCCCAGCCGGCCACACGAGGTCTCGGCGCCGCCGCCAGGGTGGCAACTGGCTGTCCCGGTACATCCCGGCCCACGTCGTGATGGTGGAAGCAGGACGGGCCTCGGTAGCTGAGCGTTTGGTATAGCTGCGCGCCTGCTGGTCAACGTGGCAAATAGGGCCTCAGCCAAAGTCCTTCCCCTTCCAGACGCTGCGAGCGATAGCGGAGAGGTGTAGCGGAGACCGTGCTCCTCCATCCCTGCAGCCTGTATGGAGGAGCACGGCCGAGAAACTGTGGGACAGCGTGTCGAGCTCGGAGTACATACATCTTCCGAGCCGCTCCTCTGCCTGAGAGACCCGCCATGGAAGCTGTCGCCACCAATCACCATTACTGAACATCGGAGCCCCACCTATACCGGCGGCCAGCGAAGAAAGGAGAATGGACACAGCCTTCTAACACCTGGCAGCACTTCTGCACAATGCACATGGACGTGGAACGAAGAGGCGCCGAGCCCTCGTGTGGCCGGATGGGAGGACCACGAAATACTACCTCAATGCAAGCAGTGCCCTGGCTGTCCCAGAAGATATGCCGCTCAGGGAGTTGGCCTCAGCGCCACAGCAACAGGCCAGCGACTCAGCGTCACTCGTGGCTGCCGCGATGTCGGCCGAGAGATGCTGGCTACTCCCAACCTGCATGGCCCCGCGATGACGCATTTACCACGAATCGAGCCCGCGCTAGCCGCCTCTCTGCGCCCTGGAAGTCCCGCGCGGAGAACACCATCGACTAGAAGATCTTCCCTCCCCCCCCCCCCCCCCACACACACACACACGACCCCGGCTGCCTCCGTAGTGAGTCCGCGGCGAACCTGTGAGCGTCCACAGAGGAACGACTCCGCAACAACCGAGGAGCGGACTACGTTACATGTGTCTCGTATAAGAAGATGGCTCGGTGGGGGGGGGGGGGGGACGGAATCCGCGAAGGTGGAGGATCTTCTCTGATCTTCCTTTCGGACAGAGGAGAAGGAATGACGGTAAGGGTTGCGGCGGGCTCCCTCTGCTCCATAACCAGGGCCGAGCTCTCAAGACGGCGCTTGATGACATCAGCAGGATCGATCATAACCATGACCAAGGCCCAAGACCAGCGCTTCTGCCTCATCTGGACCGACTTCTACGCGGCGCTGCAGACCGTGGACAGTGGCTTAGCGGCAAGGACTGTCGCCAGGGCCACCCGCGGAGAATTGCGAGCGGACTGGTCGGCAGGCGGGTATAGCTCCATCTACGAGCTCCATCTACAACGCCGGCTCACTACCAGCGCCTGCCAGGGCGGACAACAGGGAGGTAACGGTGGACGTCCACCAGCTTCGGGCGGAACACTGCAACGTAGCAGCCCAGTACCTTCACCGGACAGGCGGGCCGACGGGGCATGGCTGCCTTGGCCGCCGGGTATAACAGCTAACACCAGAGCAAAACGTTTCCCGGGCGCTGATCTGGGCCGATGGAATAAACGACAAGAACAACAACAAAATATGAATCCCAACGGGTCGGCTGTGTTCCGGCTTTCGTGTCGGATGCTCGCTGTCTAGGAAGCACCGATCTAGCTGCTGGAGGACTTGTCGCACGACGAGGGCCCAATCGACCAGGCCTGACAGCAGGGGCTGGCATGTCCGATGTCCATCTTCAGTGGGTGCCATCGTTCTGAGATCCTAATGGCAGCGAGACAGTCGACAGCATCGCCGAGGAAGCCAGCGCCCTCAACCCAAACACTCAGTGGACTTTGGGCGATCCACCGAGCCTCTGCCAGAGTGACGAGAGCCCGCTCCCTCCAGGCCTGGTCGACCGGATGAAGCCGTCGGGTGGTGGGCTGGCCGCAATCCCCAGCCGTTACCGGCGGCGAGTGGGCGGCCGCGCTGTGCATTCATGAGTCCTGAGCCGGCCACGGGACCGGCTATACCCAATGCCAACGATGGGTCGGCTGCCACCCTCCCTCCTCCCCGGTTGGCGAAGTGCGAACAGTCTGATGGGCGGCTCTGCGGATCTTCCCGGCTGCCGAGAGGAAGCTAACATCGGGATACCCCATACCATGATATGGAATACCCCACGTCCCATACCATGGCGCTGCTCCGCACTGGTGCCCACACGAGATCGGTGTGGCTCCTTGCCATTGCTCTGAATGGCAAGTTGGGACAAAGGGCATTGATTAAATATGCTTTGATAAAACCGTAACTCAACAACATTTTCCATAAATCCATGCAAGAAAAGCGTAACTCGTGAGTTACGCTTTTTATCGCCCATTATTATGAGTTACGCTTTTCTTCTTTTGTAAAGTTAGCTCACTTGAGAAGATACGCTTCCTCATAAAAATAAAATTTAAAATAACTTAAAATATATTCAGCATTAAGGTCTATAAATTGGTATATAGATTCCCTATTCGATTCTCCGTCGAACGATACCATTATCTCAAAATGGCCAAAAAGTGAGTTACGCTTGTTTTGGTTTGGACGGCAGCATATGTATAAGCGAAAAATAAATATTCCTTCCAAAGCTTCACCCTCACCTCAAGCACCTCAGCAGCGGCACCCAACACATTCGCGGCCGTCAGAGCTGCTCTACGCATCGATCCTTTCCGTCAGCATCCATTTGGGACTTGGTGATCCATTGTCAAACTGCAGGCCAGCGATGCCGACCAGCAGGTCCTCCAAAAGCAGCGGGTCACGGGAGTGTCTAGGGCGACCCGATCTCCTGCGGCGGCGGCACGGGCGGCGGCTGGCCCTCCAGGCTGTCCACGCAGTCGCGGAAGTGTCGCCACGTCTGCAGACCCTGAAAGAAGCGGCGACCACAATCAGCGGCCAGTTTAGCTGCGGGACTGCATGCAGGCGTGTGGACAAACACTGCGTGTTTCGATATTCTGTGATGGCGCTGATGAAAAAATGAAAATGAAAAACAAACATTCAGTATCTGTGCAATTCGTTTTTTAAATTCAGAAATATTATGTCTTGAATCATCAAACGCTTTGCTGCAGAACCCCAGCAGTACAGATATATTTGAACTTTGACGGCCTCCAAAGACCCCAGTACATGACCTTAATCCTCTGGGAAGTACTCATAAATGGATATCTTCTTGGAAATATTCGTTTATAGCTATCGATCACTTTATACAGCCTTAACATTTATATATACTTTTAAGAATTAAAGGTGCGTTGAGTGGTGTGGCAAAATACATCCTCTCCCTCCCCCACCATGGCCAGGTTGACTGAGACCCCCATCCGCACTATGATAAATTGAGCGAAACGAAGACAATGGGTGGAGACTTCCATTTCGCGTCTAGCTAGACGCGTCTAGCTGGACGGCGGCTGCGTCTATTTGGCGACAGCGCGTCTAGCTTGGAAGTCTCCGTCCAATAGTACGACACCAAGTTCGACGCCAACTTGGACGTCTGCTCAATTAGACGCCAGTTGGACGCCAGTGGAAGTCTCCGCCCAATAAAGCTTGCTTACCTTTTTGCAGATACGAATCTGCAGCTTCATGTAGTTGACAATAGTCTCTCGGAGATCTTTAACTTTTCGGGAATGAAACCGCTGGACGTCCTCCAGAGCCTTCTCCACAAACTCACTGCAAGGGAGGTCCGATGTAAAACAAATGTTTGACTTTTTCATCGGGCTGCACCTTCAGCTTTCACAAAGGCAAGTAATGAATTGATGCATAAATATCAATAACTAAAGACATTTCTACGGACAATCCGGTGGTCATTACCGTATTATTTATATATAAAAAATACGCTGTAACCCTGAAGAATATTATATCATTGTCATAACCACGCCCGATCTACCCACCGTTCCAGCCATCGTGCCGAATCCCACCCACCTGAGTTGCTCGGTGTGCTGCCGAATCTCACCCTTCTAACCCATCTTACCCATCTACCCCACCTAACCCAAAACCCACCTGACGCTGCTCAGTGTGCTGCCGAATCTGTTGTTCATCCACCTAACCCACCAAACCCACCTGAGCACCTGAGCTGCCGGATCTGCTGCAGGCTCACCCACCTTAACTCACCTAACCCATCTACCCCACCTAACCCAGAACCCACCTGAGCTGCTCGGTGTGCTGCCGAATCTGCTGCTAACCCACCCAACCCACCAAACCCATCTGAGCACCTGAGCAGCCTGCCGGATCTGCTGCTGCTCACCCACCTTAACTCACCTAACCCATCTAACCCACCTAACCCATCTAACCCACCTGAGCTGCTCGGTGTGCTGCCGGATCTGCTGCTAACCCACCGAACCCAGAACCCACCTGAGTTGCTCAGTGTGCTGTAGGCTCACCCACCTTAACTCACCTAACCCATCTAACCCACCTAACCCATCTAACCCACCTGAGCTGCTCAGTGTGCTGCCGGATCTGCTGCTCGGTGTCGGTCACCTGCTGGTCGATGTCCGCCACCTTCATCTCACGCACCTCGTCCGTATCAACACTGCCCAGCAGCCGCCACATCAGACTGGGCTTACCTGGGAAATGGGGGATGGCACCACGCGGTCACCAGACGAGCGATCCGGGTCGGGGCAGGGGTGTGGGTAAGTGGGTGAGGTGTTAAAATGGGGTACTGGTAAACTGTGGGAGGAACTGTAGATCAAAGGATGTAAGAATACTCTAAGGTGTAAGATCACACTCATCGACCTGAGGCGCAAAACTTTAGGTAAACAAATAAGTGATGCGATATATATTTCGGTTACGTTGGAAATATGAATGACGATTAATTAGCACGATTTATTAGCTACAAATGAGTCGGCCAGTCTGTATCCTAGAGAGCGGTCGGCGGTCTCACCCTGCAGTGCGTTCTCCCGGCGCTGCGACAGCTGCGAGAGCGTATCGTCCAGCCGTTCCAGCTGGTACTGCCGCATCGTGTACTTGTGGCAGACGGCTTGCAGCGCCGCTGCGTAGTACATGTACTCCTTCAGCTGGTCAATGTACACCTGGCGACGCGGCAGACACAGAATCGTCACATCAGTCCGGGTGCGCCAGCTGCGCAGGGCAACCAAATGGCGAAAACACAGAAAAATGAGCCATGGCCGGAAGCCAAGAGCTATCCCTGGCGCTTCATGGGCCTCGTTTACAAATTTACTAAGGGGTCAATGAATTACTTTACTTTCCCCTGCCGCCTTTCCCCACAAATCAAATTATCTACATACGAGTATCTCCCTCTGCCTCCCTCTCCCAGCCGTCCCCTCCCTCCGCACCTCCTCCTCCTCGACGAAGGTGTCAATGCTGGCGGCGTGCGCGTCCATGTAGTGGCCGGCCCGCTGCAGCCCGTCGCCCATCTGGGTCTCCACGGCCGACCACTGGCTGAGCACGCGTCCGTAGCTGGCGTGCTGACGGCGCACCGCGTACGTGGCGTCCGTCAGACGCGCGCGCGAGCGCAGCACGCTCGATAGGTGGGTCTGCCGACGCCGGGGTGCGTCAGAAACAAAACAGCACACATATTAATCGGTCATGAATGTGAAGATGTGGGTTAATTAGTCCAGCTGGTGTTGGCACAAAAGGAGTCGTAATAATACCACCAATAACCTGAGTAGTAGCCAGGTAGTAGCCAGCACTAACAGGTAGTGGTGCAGGTAGTAGCCAGCGCTAACTAGAGAGCATACCTACTTTGGTGTGCTTTGAGACAGTTATAGGCTACTTGTATAAAAAGTGGTGGCAAAACACCGGCTAAATACGAGACACGTTGGCCGAGCATGACGATGCAGTTAGTCATGTTTCAGCGAACTAAAAATTGAATATGAATCCCACGGACTCCCAGCCATTACTTCTTCCCGCTCCCATCCACCACAATTCCACCCCTCACATCTCGCGCACCGCGCAGCGCTCACCTCCAGCTCCCGTCCGTAAGTGAGCAGCTCGTCGAACCGGCTGTCGCCCTTCTTGACGCGAATGGTTGCGTTCAGCGACTTCAGCTGGCGCTCCACCTTTTCCAGGTAGCCTGCAGCGCAGACGGCAGAGACGTGAGAGTGAAACGGCGTTCTTGTCGCAGGCACAATGCGTGGCGACAGCTCGGCTGTGTGCGATCGGAACATTAAGATCCCATACAGCACAGAAGCACGAGTGTCCATAATGCTCCATACCATAAAGTTAAATTAGCATGAAGGTTTGGCATGATAAAGCATATGAAACAAAAACTTATAGGTTCCGGGAAAGACCAACGGCGACGTCCACTCACACAAAGCAAACAAACACTAGTCAGTGATTGGGAGCACATACTGTACGAGTATGTCGTGTTACTTTTCTGTTGATCTAAATAAGCATCACCCAGCTAACCGACAATCGACTGACCGGGTCACTTTGTGCACCAATCCCCCAATACAGGATGGTAAGTCAGGGTATTGCAGCTGTCAGTAGAGAGAGAGAACTTGCAATGTTCACAGAAAAACAGCTAGGTACCATAGCCAGCTGGGAAACATCTATAGAAGAACTTACCTGTGCCAGTGACGATTTCCTTCCAGTCCCTTTCATCCTGGATGAAACGTAGAAAAATCGAGTCCCAAGACAGGATCGGATGTGAAGCTACACGCAGCAAGAAGCTCTGAAAATATATTCAAATCAAATTGTTGGAACCATCAAATACCGCTGTATGTCATCAGCGCCGTTTAAATGCATGATTATGAGCTAAGACCGACTACCTGATACAGTTACACTACAGAGTCTGCCAAAAATTTCACACTATAATAGCGCTGAACAGCAACTGAACCACAGAATTTCAAGGCGTGTGACAATGACATACATGGCGTTATTTAACCCTCGCCCGTATAGGGGGGGGGTCGAACGGACCCCCCCCCCCCATGGTTTTTCGCAAATAACTCGCGTAAAAAGCGGCCGATCGCGACGAAACTTTCAGTACCCTCGCGGTTATCAATTTTACACCTACCCTAAAAATTTCATGACCCTGACCCCAATGACCTTTGACCTGTGACCTACTTTTCGAGACCATGTTTGGCCGGAATCGCGATTCGGCGTATGTCGGCTCGCATTAGCCGCGCGTTTGCAGTCTTTTCGTGGTTTCAAGCGTTCAAACATGTGATATGATGTTGCCCCCATGCATTAGGGTGGGTGTCAAGGTCATCTGAAGGTCAGGTCAGGTCATTGACCTTTGGTGACCTCGGTTCACTTTTTCGAGTTTTACATGTTTCTAGGCCAGTGTTTGGAGCTGAATTCGAATTTAGCAACCATATGAACATTTACGAAGTAGTTTTGGTGCCTTCGTAACATGTTACGAAGCTGTCACGGGCGGTTGACACCTACTAGGAATACCCGGCAGGACCCCTACTGGTTGACCTGACCTGACCTGACCCAACCTGGACCTAATGCATAAAGACATCATCTGTGATCAAAACTAATATGATATTCGTGATCAGCGCCCCGAAAAACCCCATAGCAGCCACACTTTACGACGTTCTAACAGGTTCCGATTTTCCCGACTTTTGGGTCATTGACCTGACCTGCAAGGTCAACCAATGACCTAGGACCTTAAAATTAGGTATCATCGGATTCCTCTCGTCACGGGCAACACGCTCGTTTTTTCCGCGAAGCTCTAGCTCGATCAGGGGCGAAACGGCAAGGGGGAGGTCCAACGGACCCCCCCCCCCCCCCTTATACGTTCGCGGCTGGAAAAACACCAATACGGGCGAGGGTTAAGCAGTGCTTGCAATACCACGCCAATAACATGAAAGAAATTGGTTAAACATACTATATCATTGTCAATTCTTTATCATTGACGACGATGTGATCTCTCGGACGTCTCACCTCCAGTCCAACACGGCGCCGGTCTATGAACTCGGAGTCGAACGGGTCCGTGGCTAGCTTCTGCCAGACGTGCGAGGCGCGCTTCTCGGGCAGCGGCGGCGTCACCACGTACGGGTAGGCCTCGCCCAGGTAGCCGGCCAGCGTCTCGAACTCGCTGTAGCGCCGCCACAGCGCGCCCTGGCGGCTCAGCGCGCCGCCGAACGTCGGCTCGGTGACGCGCGTCTCGATCAGGTAGGCCGTGTAGTACTCGGTCAGATTCATCGAGCCGTTGTAGCGCCGCTCTGACTCGGACACAGAGATCTCCATCACTGTGCACAGCGGCTCCTGTAAAAGAAACAGCACGCAAGGACCGATAAAGACGGACCATTAAGGATAGCATTTGACACAAACCAAACTAACCCGGTCCCGTAGCTCTGTCGGTAGAGCGTTGAACTTCGCGTGGTGAGAGCACGCGTTCCCGGTTATAACAGTCCAGGTTCGAAGCACAACTGGCGCTTGACATTTACGAGCCTCCTGACAGGTATGGTTACGGTTGGTGGCAGGCCGTAGCCAGGCGAAGTCAGCGAGGGGGCCCGGGACCGGCTGTGCGTGGCTACGTGTGCACGTGCCACGTTAAGTTTTACACTCCAAATTCTGCCATAGAACCAGAACTGCGAGATCGGAGGATTGAGGGCAGGGTCAATGCAACAAGCTTTGCTTAAAGGGGGCTCTGTCCTTGTGAATACTTCCATTCAAAAGGTTTGAACCATTAAGGAGTAACATAAATTTATAAAAGAAGTCACCAGCTATCACCAGGGATCTTGTATGCCAAGGGCAAAAAATATAGGTAAAAAGTAGCTACATTTTTTTGTTCATAACCAGCCTTAACATATCTGATGGTAACAAAAGTCACAATAAGTAAACATGTTGGGCCAAGAAACATAACACTTCCAGATTCAAGAGAGAATAAACAGGTACTAACTAACAGAAACTTAACATTTGACACATAATCATACCTTCTTGAAGTCTTTTTCTGCTGCATCAGCTCCTGGAGGTTGGGGTGTTTCCAGAGCCCCTGTGCCATTGGCTTCTGGTGGCAGATTATTTGAAATGCCATTCTCTTCAGCATCATGATCATCCATTGGTGCAGCTAGGAAATCCTGAAAATTAATTGGCAGTGAGGTCCTACCCCATATACCTACCATTCCTACTCAACAACACCCAGGTGTGCTGACATGACATTGTCATAAATGGCAGAGAAGGAGGCATTCATTTTTGGACAATATTTGGTGTGTAACTGACTAACTGTACTATGACCTTTAGCTGCTCTTCAATGATATTCTTTTCTTTCCTGAAATAACAAAGAATATTGAAACTGCTAATAGAAGCTAAAAAATATACACAATAAAAAACTACTTAAATGCACTGTAAAAAATGATGGAAACAGTGGAAACCTAGCAACTGGTTGGCGACTCGCTGTCCTGTAAATAATCTGTTTACAATTTAGCAAGGCCCTAAAACAGTATTAGTAGAGCAGACACACAAAGCTTATCCAACCAAGCAGAGGCGCTATACCTGCCACCCACCACCCGCAGATGTTTCTTTCAAACTAAACCAAAACAAACCTAACTGACCTGACCTGACCTGACCTAACCTAACCCAACCTAACCTTAGGTACCTTACCTTACCAATTTGATGGCCACTATGCCCCCTATGGCCTGTACGGTCCCGATCACATCAAGCTCCTGAACTGACGACTCTCATGGAAGCTAATCTAGGATGGAGTATCTGCCCAATCCCGGTACCTATCCCATTCCCAGTAACCAGTATCCTGGGTCATTTCCCTCTTTTGCATTCTTTCAAAATGGAAGAAATTCACAAAACAAAATCATGAAAAAAATGAATAGTCACATCCTTCTAAGGTAAAAAGGAGAGATCACACATAGCATAGATATTAGATACTTATGATACTTTTTACACAAAACATTTATAAGATACACCCAACCAGCAACCACTTGTTGAGTTGGGTAAGGTTATGTGGTATACAAGTGGATTAAGGTTGTAGGTTAGGTTGTAGGTTGGTAGGTGTAGGTTAGTAAGTTGTAGGCTGGTAGGTTGTACGACACCTAGTACGTCCATGACGTAACATATTGCAACAACACTAGCGCCAGCCTCAAGGCCACAGCCCATCATACTAGCTCATCCAGCCATATACACAGAAGTGTGACGCCTGCTTTACGACTACCCTACAACCTACAAAAACAGCCTAGCCTCAGCCTACAAACCTATAAACCTAAAACCCAGGCTCTATTAAAACCTACACCTACAAACCTACAGCACCTCGTTGGTTCAGGTTGGAGGTTTACCCGTTTACCTCCGTGTGACGTCTGCTCTACCAATACTCTAAATCGATATGAAATACAAATCATTATCAGTTATCATCCTTTAATTTATCACACTTTTGTTTATCAATTTAACAAAATTTTAACAATTTATCCACAGCATCTATCGAATAATCTAAACCGACATCTAAACCGACAATTTGTTTTCATTTGTGGCATTCATGGGTGTACTGTTTAAAAATGTCTCTAAAATGACGTCAAAGAAAATGCCCCGACAGCAGATCACAGTTTACTGTGCGTGCGTTCGACATCCGGAAAATGAGGGAAAATTATCCGGGACCACCAGTGAAAATTTGGTAACCTACACCCTTTTTATCTATGATGAAAACCGCTAAAACGTCTTTATTTCTATAGCTAAAACCAAGGCAGGCTGCTAAAACCACGCTAAAACCATGGATAACAATCCATGCTAAAACCTAAGCCGCCAAACATTGATGACGCCATCAAATACCATACTGACGGATCAAATACATTCGACAAAAGTTTTGACCTTGACAATTGAAGCCAAAAGTGGCGATAACGGCGCAGTATGTTAGGCGGTTGGATATATTATTTTATGCCATTTTCAAGGTTTTTTGGCTGTTATTTCTTAGATTTCATTGTGACGTTGTTAAATGTTCACCACGGAGTTTTCTTTCCAGTGATAAAAAAAAATCTCACCAAAATTTCACGGCATTCGGCCAAAACTTCCCTCACCCGCACGAGTAGTAAAGTAATCTTGCGCACATTGACATGAGGGGCTGGTTGCCAAATGCCATCCCCCCGCAGGTAGTTTTTCTGCTCTGCACTGAACATTTTTAAAGCTAGAAGCCTGATTTTTTGTATAGCTGCTTTCCTATCCTTTTTCAGCATGCACTGAAAATTTCAAGTTTCTGTGGTTTATGATTTCAGAGATATGACCTTGTTTTTCAGGTCATGTCATGACCCAAATCCATACTGCAATGACCATTAGGTCGATGAGGCGCACCAGGCGAGTTCAAAATCCGCACCATCCCTTCATTAAGAGGTGGAAAATCTGCACCAATGCCAAAGGAGACTACAAAAAAACACACCGAACCAAAAATATGACCAGTTAACATCTGCACTGACCACAATTTGTGATATGAGCTGTGAGCCTGCCCTGCCCTCTCAATAGTATGGAAACGAAGCAAAAAATACGTACCACACAACTCAAACAAAAAAGCATGTCACAGGACCTATTTTAACATGTTAGCTGGAGGGGCAAATGCCCCAGCACTCAACAGAGTTGCCCCGCCCCCCCCCCCCCCAGTTGTCAAGATTTGCCCACTATAAAAATGGGCATAAAGGAACAGGGTGACAAACATACTACTGCGAGTTGTCTTGTAATGGATGTCAAATGAGTCAGTCTGCAAGTAATGACCAGTGGTGGATCCAAGGGTGGGTCCTATATATCAGTCATATGGGTCATGACCTCCCGCCCCTTTGGGGCTCGGGGACACCATAGGCCTGCCATGGGCACCACAGGCCTGCCATGGGCACCACAGGCCTGCCATGGGCACCACAGGCCTGCCATGGGCACCACAGGCCTGCCATGGGCACTACCGGCCTGTCAGGGGCACCACAGGCCTGTTGGGAGCACCATCGACCTAGCAAGAGCACCATAGGTCTGCCAGGGGCACCACAGACCTGCCAGGGGCACCATAGACCTGCCAGGGGCCCCACCGGCCTCGCAGGGGCACCACTTTGGGCCTGTCAGGGGCACCACAGTCCTATCAGGGTCCAGGGGTACCAGCGGCCTAGCAGGGCCACCACAGGCCCGCCAGGGGCACCACAGGTCTGCCAGAGGCACCACAGGCCTGGCAAGGGCACCACGGACGTGTCAGCGACACCACGAGCCTGTCGGGGGCACCTTAGGCTTGTCAGGGCCAAGGGACACCACAGTCCTTTCAGGGGCACCACAGGCCTGTCAGAGGCACCTGAATTTTGCATTGATCTGTGCGTTTTGAAGCTTCACCCAAATGACTCACTTCACGAATAGAACCTCCCAATTCCCGATGCCCTGGAACCGCCTCTGATAAAGGTATCAACTTGAAAATTTAAGGGGATGTGCCCAGTTTAGTTCTAAGAAAAGTCTGCAAATTTCAGCATCCTAGATCCAGCCGTTTCGAAGATATTTTCGAAAAAACCGAGGGGTGGATAACTCCCCCCCCACCCCCTGCCACTAATAGGGTTAACCCTCGCCCGCACATGCCATTTTCCCATCCTAGAACGCACATGGGGGGGGGGTGGTTGCCACCCCCCCCCCCCGCGCCATTTCGTTCCTGTTGGAGATAGAGCTTAGCAGTGAAGACCAAAAAGATTCTTTGGGAAGAGACGAATCCAATGATACCCAGTTTTACCTTCTCAGGTCAGTCATTGACCTTCCAGGTCAGGTCAAACTAAAAAATGTTGCTGTTTTGGGTCACCGTTGGATATCAAGTGCGCTGCTTATCAAATACCGATGACGATGCTATTTTCTGGTGCCAAGCCAGCTAGAACCTCTTTGTCACACTATCCGACCAGAATTTTGCTGCTGAGGTCATTTCAGGTCAAGTTAGGTCAAGGTCAATTACATGTGTTTGTATGTCTGTGTGTGTCTGTGTGTATACTGATGTGTGCACCGATTGTTTTTGGGTCCATATCACATGAAATCATGATCTGAGAAGCTTTTACCAAAAATGCAGTCAAAAAACTTCACAAAAAGTAAATTCAGCTTGCCTAAAACGCAATTATCTTAGATGACCTAGGTTGACCTTGACCCTGACCTTGACCCCTGTACATCGTCGAACAACATGTTCCATGATAGGTGGGAGGTAAGACTGGCAAAAAAGGCCGAAATCAGGGTGTCAAAAGCTCACAAGGCCCATGGCAAACGCAAGATGTTGAGAATTGGCCATTTGGGTCATGACATGACCTGAAAAACAAGGTCATATCTCCGAAACCAAAAATCACAGAAACTTGAAATTTTCAGTGGACATCAAGAAAGGATAGACGAGCAGCTATACGAAAAATCAGCCTTCTAGCTCTAAAAATGTTGAGTGCAGAGCAGAAAGACTGCCTGGGGGGGGGGGTGGCAACCACCCCCCCCCCCCCCCATGTGCGGGCGAGGGTTAAGCGTCATTGTGCAGTGTGGACATGGACAATAACGTGCACAAATGTTTTTTTTTTTTGCGCACGGCGGAGCTGCGTTTCGGTACATGCCCCATACACGGACGCACAGTAGCGTACCACAGACAAGGCTTTCATGACGGACCTTGGGATGACATACTCGTAGACTATAGGCATGACTTTAAGCTTTCAGAATCCCAGTACATTTACATGACATGATGCCGATGTGAGTTTCAAAGTTGAAATGTGGGTTGAGTCATGAGTGACACTCTAGGATTTTACCACTCCTGAATCTGGGATGACGTTTGCGTCAAATTTGAGCATGGAACGAGCATTGATGGCGTCCCGATCTCCAACATCTGCGAGAGAATGTATTATTTTTATTTTTACATCGATGCCATTGTGAAATGCTCTTGAACTTGTTTTGCTATCTGCTCGACTAATTGTATGTGATATGGTATAGGTAGTGAAATAAAGGATGAACTGACATGACATTGGGGCCCAGCCCATGCCAACAGCTATGTCTGAACCACCGCCTCTCATGCGGACTGCGTCAGCGACAACGGTAGAACCAAAGTGGCTTCGGGAAGACTCTGCTGGAAGGGACGAGGAATGGAGTCCGTCAGGGTGTGTGAGGAGGACCCAGAGCGGCTCCTCTCCCGTAGACAGTGGTTCCGAGAGCGTCTTTCAGCCAGTTGGCAAGGACGAGATCAAGATTGAAGTCCATTCACCAAAGGTAGGTGCACAAATGCATGGTGTTCATTCGTGTTGAGAGTATATTTTTCTGTTGGGTTGATATATATAACGGAAATGCAAGTAAGAAATGGGTTTTGATTTTATATCCATAGTGGAATGAACAGTAAAATGTCTTATAGGTAGTTTTGATGACTATTGCTGGTTTCTTTATTTTGGTCTAGGTTGAGCGGCCGTCGTCTCCCTCGGCGTCGGACGACGATCCTTTGTCAGACCGCGCTGCGCAGTCTCTAGTGAGGAAGGAAGTGTTCCGGTGTCGGTCGCCGTCACCGTCTGAGGACTTCATCGGGTTCACTGAGGTGGACCGGGACAAGTAAGCAAGGGCATGGCCTAGTGTACCTTTGTGTTGAAATTCGATCAGGTTTTTTTTCAGACATTGTCCTAGACACAAGAACACCATCTTGCTGACTGCTTATATTCTTTTTTCAGTGCTTGTTACATCTCCAATGCAAAAAGGAGTCTGTTATTGCGTGACCAGTCGGACATTCGAGACTCTGCGGAAGGCAAGTCGACAGAATTCAGGCAGAAAAAAAAAAAATACGCAGGTCGCGTCTACCCAGGGGCTCCGCCACTGAGGGGGGGGGGGAGGTGTTGCGTGGTCCATACCTTCCCAATAATTCAGTCCCGTAATGCTGCCTAAATGTATAATAGAGGTGTCCATTTTTGGGTCATACCCCTTATATTCAGAGTTTCAGACCGTGGCGGAGCTCCTGTTATTGCCATAGTACTATCAGCCTTGCACTACTGTATACTTCTCCCAGAGAAATTACCGGTTTGTTATACATATCATTAGATCTGGACGCTGCAAAGAGATTCAATGGTCTGACTGCATTCATTATATTGAATCGGCACCTTAACTAAATGCAAAACGATCAATTATATCTTATTATTCTATTTTTGCAGTCTTTGCTGAAGGAGTGAGCATCGACAGTCAACGTTTCGTCATAAACTACCGGGACGTGGCTGGTCTCGATGATGGCAACATATGTGGGTATATCCCTTCCTCTGACCTGTTTCAGCGCCTGCAGGCAAAATTATTCACTGGTGGCTCTTCGGCTTGTCAGCTTTTCCTGATGATAGGTTGTTAAAGAAAGAATCTGGAAGAGAGGATGACTTTTTAGGTTGAACAAGAACTTCTTGATAATGAACGAAAATGTTCTTAAAGTTGCAGTCATAAAAACCATCACAGACACACTTTTACGTCTAATAGAATAGTAGATTCTATTAGACGTAATAGTAATAATTTAGTAAATACCTAATCAACTACGCTCTCGATCAAGTCCTTAAGAATCATTTATCATTCGCCCTACTCTCCGACAGTTTGTGACGTATGCTGCCGTGATTTGGACGGGGAATGTCGTATCCATGGAGCTCTGAAGGTCATATCCGACACCAAGGTAAGGGACGGGTCGGCTTGGTATTCTCCACACATGTTCATTCAATTTTCTTTTATGACATGGGTGGTTGGCTAATTAGACGTCATGCTTATTGCTTAGATCACAAAAGGGTACCAGGGGCATTATAAAGCCTTCGGCGTCTTTCTGCCTATTGATGTGGCACTATTTATAGATATTGTCTGCGCTGCAGCAGTCTTCAACCAGTCTTGACACACCTAAGCAAGATCAGGTTCTAGGACAGCTCTATAGCATATATGTTCGCAAATCATGCTTGACTGATCTTCAAACAGGTCAGGTCCATTCGTACGTTACATCATCCGTGGTCGACGTTTTGCGCTATATGTATGTGCGCTTATATTCCAGGCACGACCCGGTATCGGAGATTCCGAAAGGGATGTCAAAACGCTGCCGCCTTCTCTTAGCTCGGCTCAGTCAAGAAATCCAGTATCTGGCACCGGTAGGTTGACAAGGCAAAACGATGGCATTACATAACGTACGTTAGTGGACATTGTTGCAAACATGTATTGATGGTGTTTGTTAACCCTCGCCCGTATAGGGGGGGGGGTCGAACGGACCCCCCCCCATGGTTTTTCGCGAATAACTCGCGTAAAAAGCGGCCGATCGCGACGAAACTTTCAGTACCCTCGCGTTGATCAATTTTACACCTACCCTGAAAAATTCATGACCCTGACCCCAATGACCTTTGACCTGTGACCTACTTTTCGAGACCATGTTTGGCCGGAATCGCGATTCGGCGTATGTCGGCTCGCATTAGCCGCGCGTTTGCAGTCTTTTCGTGGTTTCAAGCGTTCAAACATGTGATATGATGTTGCCCCCATGCATTAGGGTGGGTATCAAGGTCACCTGAAGGTCAGGTCAGGTCATTGACCTTTGGTGACCTCGGTTCACTTTTTCGAGTTTGACATGTTTCTAGGCCAGTTTTTGGAGCTGAATTCGAATTTAGCAACCATATGAACATTTACGAAGTAGTTTTGGTGCCTTCGTAACATGTTACGAAGCTGTCAGAGGCAGTTGACACCTACTAGGAATACCCGGCAGGACCCCTACTGGTTGACCTGACCTGACCTGACCCGACCTGGACTAAATGCATAAAGACATCATCTGTGATCAAAACTAACATGATATTCGTGATCAGCGCCCCGAAAAACCCCATAGCAGCCACACTTTACGACGTTATAATAGGTCCCGATTTTTCCCGAGTTTTGGGTCATTGACCTGACCTGCAAGGTCAATCAATGACCTAGGACCTTAAAATTAGGTATCATCGGCTTCCTCTCGTCACGGGCAACACGCTCGTTTTTTCCGCGAAGCTCTAGCTCGATCAGGGGCGAAACGGCAAGGGGGGGGTCCAACGGACCCCCCCCCCCATTATACGTTCGCGGCTGGAAAAACACCAATACGGGCGAGGGTTAAACATGTATGATGGTGTTTGTTAAACATGTATTGATGGTGTTTGTTTTGAGATTGTAAATGCCAGGATATTGTGTGCCCATTTATGTGAAACGAAGGCCATCATCCATTCATTCTGATTCCAGGAGTCTGGACTGAAAAGGATGTTCCGGCGCGCCAAAGACTCGGTCCTTACGAGGGCACCCTGACCACCGAGCAGGCTCGGGCCCGAACGCCCGGGTACAAATGGCAGGTTAGTTTGTGATTGCTGTCGAATCTCCATGCGAGTCTGACACTATTCGCTCTTCTGGCAAAACTGTTTTTTTATAAATTTAGCTCGAATGTTTGAATGGACGGATGGACAGTGCCGGAGCCTACGCTAAGCAGAGCTTGTTGCGTAGACCCCGACCCCTACCGTCCGGTCGCGCAATTCCACGCAACGGGAGAATTTAGATGCCAAAGTTTAACGAGCCTTAAAGCCGGACATGGCCTGTCCCACTCAACTGACTTCAACTGGCTGCGGCTGCTCCCACCAACCGCAGACCATCCCCGTCAGGAGTCTCAAATATCGAGCGCCGGAGCGACTCGAACCCGGGCTCTCACTACCGGGAGTCCAACGCTCTACTAACTGAGCTACGGGACAGTCTGTTATGTTGACTGTTATGCTGGTTTTGTAGTTATATCTCGAACAATAATATAGCTGAAGTTCCATCACTTGAACATTGGCGCTTCTTGTTTTTATTGTTTGTTTTTTTTTCTTTTTAGTTAAGTAGGCTATAAAAATATCACTAGATAGGAGATAACCAAAAATTGAAATTTGTCTAGGATTGATGTGCGAATTGTTTTGCATTTCAGATCAGGAAGGGCCAACGCGTGCATCACTTGGTGAATACAGAAGACCCGAGCTGCAGCAACTGGCTCAGAAGGGTCAACTGTGCCCGCTCAGAGGAAGAACAAAACCTAGTGGCCTTCCAGTACCGGGTCAGATATACTTCAGGTGTGTTGTAGTCTAAAAATCCATGGAAAAAATTCCTATCTGTAACGTTTTACATTCTATGTACGTTATTCCTTGCGCCGCCTGCAGCCCTTACCGCTGATTCTTCTCGGTTATCAATGGCTAGTTTTCTTGTCCCAAAATGTGCAATGCTTTTATCATTTATTTACATATTCATTATTGCTTTGAAATATATTTATCGACTTTTGCAGGACGTCAAAGCCCATTCCGGGGGGCTCAGAGCTGCTGGTGTACTACGGAGACGAATCGGCCCGGGAGCTGACCGTCCACTCGGAGACGTCTGGGGAGGCTGTGACCTCCTCTTCCGCCGGACCGTCATCGTCAGGTCAGTACCTCGTTGGCGGTTCTGATCATTTGGTATCCATTGAAGGGATCGACCTTGTACTGGCATTCGCCTGTCTTCCGATAGCTGCCGTCTTGGCCGTTCCGGTTGGTTGGAAGTCTTTATTTTCTGATGGGATCTGATGGAGATCGGGACAGGGGGATACGTCCAAAGAACAACTGGATTAGATGCTAATCGGAGCATCAGTCTTGCAAGTTAGGTACCATCTACAAATGTTTTGGCGCAGTTCTGAATGTACAACACCGGTAATGCATTGTATTCACCAAGGGGTATAGATTGGGTTCGTTGAGATGGTATTTCAGCTTGCGATTTAAGCATCGCGTTTGCAGGGGGTCCGATGGACTACCCCGGGTTTTCGGTCATGCCCCCCTCCCCCCCCCCCCACACACACACACACAAAATCAGCGAAACGCGTAGCTTCATATCTTTGGACACGTTTGATATTTGAGGCTTACGAAAGCAGTGTAGTGTAATAAGACGTCCTAAATCATGGCCCATCGCAACCTGAACAGAGGCTTGGCCATGCTGTCATTCCAACTAAAAAAAGACGCCAAAACAAATGGTGAAACAAGCCGTTCGCCTTCTGAAACACACGCCAGAGCACCTGCACTACCGTAGGTAGACGGGGAAGGTGGTTTGGTCGGATGAGTCGCCGTTTATTATCCGCTGAGTTAGTTGCATTATCACCTGAACCGTCAAAGGCCGTGTGTGCGTGCGACCAGTAGCTGACGTGCCGGCCGTCACCAGTGTCGAATATCCGGTCTGGATCCAAGTCTGAGGAGCATGTTGACTGATCAGATGTTTTGCGATGTCCCAGCTGCCTTCCTTTGAAGTCAGATAAAAGCACCATCAAGGAATCAGCGACGAGTAATACCGGAACAACATCCTACCCGACGAATGTATAGAGGCGCTCAACCGGAGGGTAGAATAGAGCTTGGTTTCTGAACGTGCATTGATGCCTCATTCAAGTCCAGTGTCTCAAAAATTTGTCGATTTGGGTGGGACACGATTCCAAATAAAAATAGTTTTCTCCCCCACCTCTAATTTTCAAGCGTAATCTCTTTATCCCATTTTTGCCCAGAAAGAACATCTGCACGTGTAGTCGAATTACGTCGCATAGGCTACCACTTTTGTGTAGAAGTCTATGCTGTTATCCTTTTTCCACACTTTTTTAGGAGGGGTCTTATCAGACCAGGAGTTTTCCACTCTCATCCCCCTCAACGGTTATAACTCAACTGAACAGCTGTTAGATACCATTCGTGACCTGAGATGACCTCAGGAGCATAAACAGGGGTCACGGATACCATTTTCATGCTCAGCGTGTCTAAATTACTTGTAATTCAATGTTTGGGAGTGTTTATAATGGCTTTTGTCCAAAACGGGCGCCTTTCAATTTTTCCCCATTGACTTATAATGTGGAGGTCGCAAGATTGACCTGACATCATCGATATCAAAATTCTGAGATAAACATTTTGTACATACTATTGTTCTTAGCAATCGCTGAAAAATTTAAAGCGACGGGTCACTCGGTATAGCTATGGCAGACATTGAATTTTTTATGTGGTGAGGTCACTTAACCCTATTCCTGGCGGGGGGGGGGCCTCAGGAGCCCCCCCCTGAGGTTTTTTGGTTATTTCTCCCAAACGCGTTGAGCTAGGAAGCTCAAATTTTCTGACTTTTCCTAAAAGGCTTCTACGCAACATGTCTGAAAATTTTGAGTTGATCTGACCTCAGGTCAGGTCACCAGAGGCGGTTTGGTGACCCTACCTCAGAAAAGTTTGCAATCACGCCAGAGCTAGAGTTTTTGACCGATCAATTTCTTCTCTTCAGGCTTTAGTTAGGGTACCAGTATGTGCAATTTGTATATCTCGGAATTTTGATATCGGTGACCTAAGGTCAGGTCAGTTTCGCGACCTCCCCATTATAAGTCAATGGGGGAAAATCAACTCCCTGTTTTTACCACTAAAACGGGTCGGAATGGCCCCATATACCATACATGACTTCATATACGATCAACCTTCACTACCTTGAGGTCTGTTTTGCTGTTGGGCAGCTGTGAGGTCATGTGACGTCATCAAAGGTCACCAAAGGTTTTTGGCCAATAACTCCGTACAGGAACAAGATACAGACGCGTGGATGGTCTCATTGTGTTCAGCTCGTCAAGACGCATCGAATGATATACATGATGACCTCGAGGTCACGTGACCTGAGGTCAACCTTTGACCTTGACCTTTCGAGGTCAACATATATATCATTCGATGCGGATTGACGAGAGGATCACGATGATGCCCTTAGTTTGTTCCTATCTTGACTAATTCGAAAGTTATTCGAGAAAAACTCTCCATATCTAGCGCCGCCATTTTGACTTTTTCGACCCCTGTGACGTCATCTTTGACCTGACCTGAAAATGACCTTAGTAAAAATTGTAGATCTTGACCGTGCGTATCCGATGCCGTTTACCGTTTGTCGCTGCGATGTGTAGTTTTTGAGATCTGAAGGGGGGGCCGAATCGCCCCCCCCCCCCCGCCAGTTTCTTGTCCCGGCGGAGCCCGCCAGGAATAGGGTTAAGGTAACCTGGTGACCTGACCTTAAATGAGCTTGGTGTAAAATTTGTTCACCATCTGTAGAATTGATGTATGATAAGATACGCCGCCGTTTTTGAAATATTTGCGAAAAACCGCAATGGGTTTGGGGGTGTTCAGACGCCCCCTCCCCAGCAGGGCATGGGTTCATCCATGTGCCAAGGAAAACCTTACCGCGATTGATTCAGCGTGAATCATCCCCTCGGTGACACACCCTAATGCGAACCCATATGGGATAGCAGGGGCATTCCACGTCAAATCGAACAAAAATCGGCTGTTTTGCAACTTACCATCAGCGATTTCATTATAAAATTGTGAGCGAGTTCCTGTGTCGCCCCGGACATTACAATGATGTTTTTTTGCACATTCTGACCACAGGTCTTCTAAATATAGGGCATCAAATTTTTACAAAATTTTGCATCTTTATATTTTGAACGACCATAACCTTGGTTGTACTTGTTTGATTTGAATGAAAGAAACCTTACTGTTTAGGTAATTTCTTAAGCATTAGTTTAGAATTGCACATACTTGAATATATGACCTTGAAATTTGCTTAACTCTGTTCTTAAGCACAAAAATTGAAATAGCAAAAAACACGCCACCTTCGATTTGGCTCATTTTCATATATTTTATTGCCTAACTTATTCTTAACAACCTGTGAAAAAATTAGAGTGTGCCATTCATAAGTTTTGAAGAAAATGGCAGATATGGAAACGTATGTTAGCACGCGCAGTGGAGGGGGAAGAGCGAATTTCGCCCCACCCCTTCTGTTTTTCGCCAATATCATAATATTAATGCGAAATTAATTATGGCTACCTGTCCAGAATTGAATTGCACATCTCATCGTGCAAGTAATAAGAAAATCGGTTCACAACTGTTCTAGTAATACGGTGTAAAGTGAATATCCTGTCGCCGCGGCGACGCGGCGACTCGGCAGCCGGCGCCGACCGCTACGCGCCGCCTGAATTGTAGACTGTGCCGGGACGGAACGGAACGGTTCCGTCTTTACATCGCGCTCCTTACCGCTGATTACGTTCGATTCGCGTCAAATTTTGTGAGAAGACTAAGAAATGTTCAGGCAATCTTATGGTGATTTTTTTTTTAATCGGTTGGTAAACATTTGAAATATGAACGTGTAAACACAAAATTGTGATTGCTGCGTTTGCCGCGTCGGCCGATCCCGCCTCAGCCGGCGACATCTTACTCTTAGCAGGCCTCTAACTGCCATGTTTATTATTGGATTAACTAGAAATTCACCATACATACTCAAAAATGTATGTTCTTTCGTATAGTGAAGTTAAGAAGACGTGAAGATATCGTTGTGTGATAATGCTTTCGTTTACAGGGTGCCCCATAAGTTCGTTCTCACATTATGTTTGCATGTGAAACAGAGTACATTGCGTTTTAATATATTTATGACCCCTCAATATGCTCCTCATTTAATAGGCAAACACATGAATACATGCTGCAGCATGCCAACCGGCATGTTTGGCTGCAAAGTAGGCTTAACCCAGACTGACTTGACATGCGCCGTGAGCTCCTCGAGGCTGGAACAGCGCTACGCTTCGACGAGCCTCAATTTCAGCATAACCAACAAATTTTTATGAAATTTTGATCCAATGAGGTGCCTGGCATGTGATCTTGCCACAAATGCCTGTCACAGTCTCCTTGCACCGCTTTTAAGCTTTGCTTGACCTGTGCACTGATGCACTGTCTTGCCTGAAGATGGGCCTACGGGCTACGACCTCCCGGATGCCATTTTCTCCTCTATAAATATGTTCATACTCGCGGTTTGAGTTCAGCTAGAGGGCTGAAACTCCTCCTAGATGTTCTTGGAAAAGCATTCTGCTTCCCAAAACTGTTTCTGGGTTGCCACTTGCAACTTGGTCAACTCCAGAACGCCTATAATCCCACAACACAGTGACCCTGACCTTTTGCATAGGAACATAACGGGACGTAACGGAGGCCTCCTCCTTCGCCCTTATGGGGTTGTTTTCGGGTTTGGACGGGTGTTTCCTTTCCAACGTGGACTAGTTAGTCC